TGCAAACTCATTTCGTAGACAGATAGGTGGCCAGATAGGTATTCGCAATCGTGTTTGACGAAGATAACAGCGTCATCATCCACATGGGTTACCGATCGACAGGATAGTCTGTCATTATGCCTTCTGTCCTGGTTGATTACAGCACCGGAGTCTCTACACATATTCACATATCCGTGCCGGTATGGATCGAACAAAAAGTGCATCGGATTAGACATGCTTCTTATTGGTGGTCCACGTGATAAGTGCGTGTTGAGATCTGAATGCATTCATTCTGAAATTATTGATTCCACATCTTGTTTGAGCTAGTTCCCGAATTTGTAGAAATATATTTATAGTATGAGATTTTTATTGGATAAGTGCATTTCTCATACCTCAAAAGATTACGATAAAAATATACAGCGGGATGTCAAAAATTGTACTGCGAAGGTGCTGCGATCTTCATCATATACCACTTTTCCATTAACATCCAGACCATGGAGTTTGACATCACTTAAAATGTGATCGTACCAACGAACATAAAAATAGAATGCGTGAAACATGATTTTACAGAAAAATAGCAGAACGCGATTACTTGTACTAAAAAGATATTTTTATTGTGAAAATAACAAAACAACGCTTTTTCATACCACCCCAGGCATGAGTCATTCAACCGCAAAATGACTGTAGCTAGCAAAGACTTTCTAACAATAAACGCCTTATGTTCGAAACTTCAAAGATAATGAAATGATCAGATTACTTGTTATTTAATACAGATAATTCTAACACTTTCACAAATTATTTTTCTACCCAATGAATAACCGGGAACACGCGTTTACTGAAGCGCGAACAACAAGGCTCCATTTGTGCAATCGCGATTCTACTCGCACAAAATGCTTTTGTAGAACTTTCATCCCAAATCTGTACACGGACAACCACTGGCTTTCACAAGCCTACGATCTGGCTACAGCAGTTAATCCCCTTCATACGCTCCTCAATGAGAACGGGGCAACAACCGGATTGAACAGCACATAACTGAATAAATTGCTTCGGTGAACGAATAAAAATTCGGAAATATTATGGTCAGAAATACAAGTTGGCTCTAAGAAGAATGGTACATCCCGGCGAAAGTCCACCACTGAATCGATTGAAAAGCGTGAAGAACAATTGCGCTTATTGAAACAAAGCAAAACTCTTTCGGGAATTCGTTGCATGAATACACTGAGTCTTGCAATATGATCGGGCAACGATGAACGGCTTGGTTTATCAGTTTTTCAGTAGCCTTCAAATCGGTTCTCAGATCGAGTTTGTTGATTATCCTTAATGCTGCTAAAGTAGATGCTTAAAAGGCTTAGTGAAACACAGAAGCATATTACTCAGGCATACCGTGGAATTCAGCTCCACTCGTACTGTAATCTTTCAGATCACAAATTATATCGTCCTCTTTGAGCACACCCACAAAGCTATCCAGGTGTTTGCCAGTCGGAATAGCGGCTTTTCCGAAATCATCGTGCTCGCATGTACTTTAAGAATGGTATGCTTAAATTGATAATTTTTTCCGCTGTGGACGGGTTTGATGATTGGTTTTCGATTTCGTTTTCGGACACATGTTTGAATCCAACTGAGAATAAACCGAGGTTCCTTGTGAAAATTTAACCCATGTGAATCATTGGAAAGCTTCTTATTTTTGGACAATCTTCAGAGAGCGGCTTGAAAGCTGATCTTCCCATCACTTCGCTGTGCATTACTATAGACTTACAATTAATTAGATCTCAAATATGATGAAACTTACAATACTGTGCGCAAGTAGTTCGTCTGTGCCACGGACACACCGTTGACCCGATGGGAGCCCACGATGCACAAATGATCCATACTAATAACTGGACGATCGGTGTAACGAATAATAGACATTCGCTGGAAATGCGTTGGGTCATTGGGCCACCGTCGATTGATGATCTGATTAATTCAAGGCGTTATGGAGAGAGAAAAAACAAGAATTTCCATGAACCAAATCAAAGTTTACGGTTTTTCGACAAACTATGCACCAAACAATATGCCTCATCAAGAGAAAAACAAACGACTAATTTAATTCTAATCAAAAATGCTGTGTTCTGTACCGAATCAGGATAATTACCGGAAGACTCTTCGCCTTTCCAAACTGATCACGGTAATGTAATTGAAACCTGTCTACAATAAAACGACTATATTTGGTTTTTATGAAGCGTTGGCATTGCTTCAGAACGGTAACCTGTACAGTGAATGATAACTGTCCAGATTGAAAAATCACAATAACGATTAGTCTTATGATTAGAAGCGCAATGGCTCTCAATCGGTTTCATTCATAATCTAAAAGCAGCATTTAAACATATTATTAAACCTTCTTATTCGTAATCACTGCAAAAAACTGCCACCCAGCTGAGGATTACAAATCCAAACACGGCGTCACAGTCCTGCGAACCATTAGTTGTCCGAACCGGCCATCAGAAGATCTGTTGTCAACATATCCCCATGGAATAGCGCATAACGCGCTCACATATGGCGTCCAAGTGAGACCAGTGGCTTATAGGACTATGAATGAGTGCACTGTCAAGTGATTGGCCTACAAGGCATGACTGAATCGCTTCGTTTGCACATGGCCTGAAGGCGCCTGAACCTCCTTCAGCACCGATTATTCCTCCTCTTTTCCTATCTGCGGTGGTAAAGTTATTTTACACTCTTTATAGGCGAACGTGTGTTCAGAAATGTAATATTCCACTTCTAATTGCGGATCGTGTTAGAAAACACGTCAATTGCGTGGTAGGATCCATTTGAGAGTTGCTATCAGGGAAGGATGAAAATCTTCGTTCAGCCAAATTTATCTTGAATAAAAATAACTTCAAAATAGGTTTTTGAGCGCATAAGCCGTGTGAAGCCCACCTTTACTCGCAAACGATGTTGAAGAAAATCAAATATAGACTGCGGCGGTAACTCTCGAGTTTCTCGCACAATACAGTTCCTCTCCAGCTAAGTCTCACCCCTCGGAGATTATACAGTTTTGCTTAGTCCTTATATATCGAAGGAATTGAAATCTCTAACTATGCCATCAGCTCAACATTTGGACAGCGTACTCGGCTGTCAGCTCTTTTTCAGTTTCCCGAAACTGCTTACATTTCCTTGGGAAGATTTTACTAACCGAATTATTGTCCTATTAGACTGCAATGTGAAGGTGACCGTTGTGGCCAACGTTGGTTGACATCCGTGCCGCAGTTATTACTCATGACCTTAGTGACTGATTTAACTCAACACGTGAAGGTATCCCGTGATTTGCGGCGCGAACGTTCATCACCTAAACGGAGCAAGAGGGTCATAAATGTTACGATGACCTTCGTAGGTCAGTGACCTGTCCGATTTCATAAGTGCTTTAGCGAAGGCAACCTCTATTATGTTTCACCCATTCACGCAGGCGTGACAGTGTGATGGTTATTATCGATCGACTGGAGACCTAAAATTTCCACGCTCGCGCTTATCAGCTCAGTCAAACACGAGCATCGTTCATAGGTTGGCACAGTTAGTGCGACGTAGCGCATGAATCTACTGAATTTGGTTCTTTTATCAAAACTATATGAAATTATATACTTAGCACTAAAAATATCACAGTTGGTATAGTCAAGGATCATCAAGGTAATTCCTGCTAGAAACTCATTCACTGTATCACCTGATAACGTCAAGTCTTTTCCGCAAACCCAAAAAGTAATAAACGAGAGTAGTTGTTTGTCTCTTCGTAGCTCTGATGACGGCATCTGTCTGAACAAGAGCGAAACCAACCTTTGCAAGCCTTGAAGTCACCATAATGCATTGCTTATGCCGGTTCAAACGTCTTCTTACAAACGATACTCTACATCATGGGGAGCTCGCCGTACTTTTCCCTTATAGCAATAAACCATACCAAGTTGCTTTGTTAACTACCGAGAATACTTGAACTGGCATCTATGTCCCATCATCACAAGGGTTATCCAGTCAATGGACAGTATCATCTGTGCATCACACCAAGTGAAACGTCATTGATGGAATACGACACATTACTTGTTTGTTGGTCAATCTCCAACCCGAACATCACTCGACGACTAAGCGAGTAAAAGTCAGAAACCACGGCGTACCGGACAGTTGGTTCCTAGCTTTTCATTTCACGCTTCATTTGTTCTGTACACGATCAAATCCGCCGTATGTATAACAGAGATTTTTACCATGCATTTATTGTAGCAAAGCGGACGTTCGAATTACCGAAATTCAGATTCACAGCCACTTCTTCAAGCTCACATGGGGATTGCCCTCATCTTATGTTGCGTATACCCTTGATAACAGAATGAATCAGACGAATGTTTGAAACACTCCTTTGATTGGTGACATGAACACTGTGCTACTTTCTAGTATTACCACATTCGATGCAATGATCAAGAGAATTTCAAAAAAGCCCTTTGTCCAACTGGATAAAACACCATCTAACCATTTTAATTGCATGTCCGCTGAATTACTTACGATAGATAAATGTTTGTTGATTTTTTCGATAATTTCCATATGACGTGGCAGCATTCGTTTCAACATGTCCACGGACCAATGCTTGAGTGCCTCCGGTCGAGCCACGTGGTTGGTGTGTGTAAATGTTTGATAGCAAATGTCCCATGCCTGAATGGAATGAACGAATCCAAAATTAATGGACTGTTATAACTACGAACTGATGAAGCAAAATCACCTCAAGTTAATTTAATTTAACTTCTCATTTTGACCAACTATAATTGTTTGCAAGCCGTATTCCAGAATTTAATCTGTATATTCATGGCTGTTTTGTTATTCAGTAAGGCATTAACAGGTTAAATTTGTTTTGATAACCACAAATCGTGCAAGTCACACAAACATACCATCTGGAGCATTCTACCAGGAACGAAATCAGTGTACCGAGCACGAACGCCTAAAAAAACCTGATTTACCATCCTGAAAATAGAATGGTGAACACATTGCCTTTGTTCCTGACCCGGAGAATGGCACTAGTTGAGATGGAAAATCAGTAAAGATTGGTATGCTCTTCGCATATGTGTTATGCGTCCCAGCTTTTTCCTTCATTATCTTCATCATGACCTCAATCGAAATCATGTCTCAAGCATAAACGCGAGAAAACTTCCCTCACAGTGTAAGTCAAACTAACTGAGTTTGTTTAGGATTATGTCAGTCACACAGCCAGTTGCTGAGTCTGTGTTTTTGATCACCACTTGCGCAAAGAATTATCCACCAAAAGCGGATAATCGAAGTACTGTTCGATACAGATCGGTACCAATCGTTAAATGGATTAAGATCATTGGTAGACTGCGCTCGGTTTCCCCAACCCCATTAGGAAAACCAAATGCATGGGTAAAAATCATCTTCGTTTCAGTAGCACCGGGTGTGTCTGGACCATAAAGACCACTAAATTGAACTTTGGTGGTAGGCAGCTTCCTTGTTGTTCGGGTCAGTGCCACACCCATACCTTATGTGGTTCTTTACTCCAAGCCATGGGGCAGAGGTTGATGGTCTCCATGACTGAAAAGTTGATCCACAGGACTATTTGGTTTACCAGTCGCATAGTGGTGTGAACTAAGGAAAACGTTCTGATAAATGACCATGGTGTTTGTTTACTTACTCGAAATTAGCAAACCTTTCTATGTCAGGCGATTGTCCGAGCGTATTCGTGAACACCACCCTGCGTGGCTGAACACCGGAACGATTAAGTCACTCACCAGTGCAGTGATTTCACACTTAGCTGAAACAAATCACACGGTGGACGTGTCCGAGGCTTTCCGACCGCTGTATAAAGTTCGTGGGCGACTATCGAGGCAGGTTCGCTGTCGGATGCTGGCTACCGTATAAGCGGTGGGCATTCGTCTGCACAACCCCCCTGTGTGCCCAAAAACAACTTATGCAAGCGCTAAAGCTTCCATGGCCCACCCCCACACATACCCTTTTGCGAGTAATCTCGATAATCGGATGAGTGGACAAACAAATGTGTGATCATGGTGAACCCGATTTCTGGTCTCACGATGGCTTCTAGTAATCTGTGATTTTATTTTATTTTATTTTCCCAAGACAATTTTGTTCCCACGTAGTGATATATATTGCGATGTATTGAATGAATACGAATCCCTAAAACGAGCTTGTTCGCAACTCTGTTGTTCTGTTTGAAATGTGCTCTGTGGGACTATATCATTTCTATTCTTGGTGTTATGGTGATTCAAAGTATATATACTTTATGAGACGATCGGCATACAGGTGATTACCCGACACGCAAGTATGGTGAAATTCCTTCAACTAAACAATTTTACTTAATCTCTTTTATTTTATGGTTGCAAAAGCCCTGGTTGCTTCCATTTTGCTTTACGCTCTGCAAATTCCTTATGACAGTAAATCCATCCTATTGTTGATTTTCCTCCATTGATTACTGGGAACATCTTGCGCTCATCCATCTCAGTGTTGCCCAAATCATTCGTAATTATTTGATACATTTTGTGATTGAACTGATTTAGTCGTGCACCACCGGCTCTACTCAATTTGATCCACTCAACCACGCATACAGGCAAGCACGAAAATTTCTCTTATTCACAGATCTGGCTGTCTTGATTCTTTTTCACCGGTACAAACACCCCCCCACAGACGCACAGACACCTAAAAGAATGGCCTGCACAACTTCTTACAAGTTTTCGGTCCACGCGTACGTCAGTACGCACACTGATGCAACAGGATCGACGTCTTTACTTAATTGTGATTGAATTTCTTCCCGTAACTCAGTTGTTGTTCCTCTTTTGAGAAAGAACAACGTTCAATCTTCTTAATAAAGAGTTCGATTGCCCCATGAGTGATCTTTCCTTCCTTTGCAAACTACACCCCACAACAAAAGTTTTGCACACAACCCACCACAGATTTCCGGATTGTATTTGCTCCCCTTATGCACGATCATCAGTTTTGAGAACCTATAGACCATTGAAAAAGGTATATTGATAACCAAAAATCCGGAATTGACGTCTTTTGTGAAGTACACATAAGACAGTCAGACGGTGCAAAACGGTTCCCATCCACCGTTCACAAGCAGATTGGACACAGGAAAGATAAGCACAGACTTCTATGTATCGCTTCAAACTCCGTGATGAAATGGAAACGTTGTGTGTGTTGAACCTTTCGGTGCGAACGATGCGTCAAAAAATCAAGGCGGTTCGGTGAATGAAATACATTAATGTGAGAAGGCGCATAGCTCCGATAACTTTACCAACACAAAATCGTTTATTCTGGGCTAAAAAGGAAAATGGAACTTCGTCTACTTTAGCGATGAAAAGAAATTCAATTTAGATTAACTTGACGCGTGAACCTTCTACAGTTGTGATCTATGGAAACAAGCGTGGTATTTCGGTAAGCGGATTAACTATCGAAATCCCTTGATAGTACAAACCAACCAAACTCGCTATTTGAGTATGAGTGCATAATTATAATGCATTCTTTCGTACATTCGGGCAACCCCTTGTGCCAGAAACGGCATCGGCTGATCATCTCGAAAGAAATTTTCCAGTATTATAAATCCTTAAACCATAACTCGTATCTAACAAAATGCTGTTTTTTATGTAGCAGCATCAGAACAATGGTGTGGCCTGTGTGCAGCTCAGATTTGGCCCCAATATAAAATATTAGGGCTATTCATCTCGAATGTTGTACCAACATTACAGAGTTTGCAACCCAAAGCATGAATTAGGGACATCCTCCATAGTGGAATGACTCGAAACCTTTGGCCTTCAATGGGTAAACTTCGAGGTTGCAATATCTTGCAATACTTATTGCAGTGAAAATTCTGTTTCTTTTCTATACATTTTCATCAAAAGAAAAAATAATTTGATGAAATTTCGTAGTTCTGCTTTTCATTTGGTTGCCATCAGGGGGTGCCAAAATTGTGATGACTGTGCATGCTGACTTCATATAACCTATCGAGTTCCTGAGTGGTCAGTCAACTGTTCATCTTCATTTATATGTTGACATCATTAGCTTACCTTGTGAGGTGATCAGAGAACTGTTCACGAACAGTGAGTGATAGCACACAAAATCGACTAACTATAATAGTTCTGCTCTATGCATTCAATATGCATAAATCCGATGCGAATACATGGGCACCAAGATTACGGATGCGTTGATCAAAGTGTGATGATTTTATGTAAAGTAATAATATTTGTTGACCAGCACGAGACTCGATCCGCTTTTCATTTTTTGAATTAAAATTTTATTTGTTTTCCTATCACAGCAAACTGCCTAGGTATTATAGGGTACTTTGTGCTATTACGCTTCTCAGTGACATTCTGTCTTAATTTCTCATGAACTTTTGTTTATCCTATGATCGTTTCACATCTCTGATTCCCTCGTCAATAATTCTTCATTAGAGTTGATAAAAAGATCGAGGACACGAGTGTTTCCTGTGGAAACGCAAACGGAACTCACATCACGCCACATCAACTTCTCCTCGTCCATCAAAATACGCATCAATTCGGGAATCCCCAAGGCAGGATGTGTATCGTTCAAATGGACTGCCACTTTGTATGGTAGTTCAAACAGATCCCGCTTTGGGTTGTCTTGTCGAAATCGTCGAAGCATATCCTTGGAGCAGCCAGGGAGCGGAAGTAAGAAAATGAAAAAGATCCGCGTAACATGTGCATTGTCAAATTTAAATGAATTGAATAGGAGTAGATACATTTTGCATATATTTTTAATTGATGAGGCTACTTCTTCTAAATATAGATATACGTTTCACTAGCATATGATGCGGGAAAAAAATGGGAACTACTTCGAAAACTCACGTTCAGCTACCTGTTGTGGTGGTTATGACACGAAAAATAAAGCGATCTATGATGATATTTTCTGTCCCTCTTTCCTTCATAGTCAACCGTGATTTCGACTGTGATACTACATTTTAGGGCAACCATTTTGCATGTATTTTACCGTGTTCAGATTTTTGCTCAGCGGTACTCCAGGCACTGCTCCAACGCATTTGACACGATTCCCTTTTACCAATTTAGTGACTTGCATCATTTAGTACCCGCCAGTGGCAGTAATTCATACAATCAGGTAACACGATATGCCAGTATACGCGTTACTGTGACCTTGAATATTCATGTCGTTTCGAGTAACGGTTCACTAGCGAAATCTACATGCGCTGACAATGGTATACTTTATGTAACCTAATATTAGCGAGTACTAAGATGATCAGTTGCTAAATACAATTACAATAATTCGTTTCCAATATTTTCTCCCGAGTTTCACATTGTTCTTTGCAGCTTGACACTCAGATACTTGGGTTATAGAAGGGCTGGTTGAAGAAAAATAGAACGTGCAGGTTTTCAAAACATACGAATTCACCAATCCAATCTTATATTTTTTCTGAACGAAAATCAATTGTGACGAAAACAGACCAGTAAAAGTGGGAAGAAAATTACATTTCCTTATGTGAATAATAATAATAAGCGGAATAATCACATATTTGAAATGCAGAAAAACCTTTGGCTCACCCATCAAAATATATCGCATTTATCTACTTACACCCGGAAAATTCATGCTCATTTTAATTCAATTGCTAGCACTGTGATATTTCTTTTTAGCGGTTCTTCAAAATGTCATACAAATGATTCAGTATACGCTGTTTGATCTACTGCATACTGATATCTGCATGATCAGCTTTCGGTAACAACGAAACTTAGTAGCACATAGCACCGAAACGTGAGGAAAGAATAAGCTGTATTACTTAAACTGCCCTTGTTTGTTCGCCATGTTTCCGCTCCTCGAGCAATATAGCACCATCAATATAACTACAGTCAATTTCCTGCTTTGTGGCACCCATGAGAAGTCGCATTTTCCAATATCTTCGCACGTTTTCGAAAACCCAAACCAACCATATACGTAATAATGTGGTTTTTGACTATGCAATGTCGCCCCCCTCAATAGGTCGCAGTTCCCGATACATACTCACTTGGTCGTTGACCGATGTTTGGGACGACCATTGACCATCCAACCTGAAATGTCGCACTCAACCAATGGCGTTTCACCTAGTTCGACGAGTTCATGGCACCATTCACTGATGGGATAATCCTTGCGAGGAAGTCACACCGATGTAAGTGATCGGAGACAGTGTCATTTGACGTCAAAATGTGCAAGAACCTATCGATNGTGTTGGAAATCCTGAAACTGCCAGGTGTAACTCAGAGCTCCGTAGCCAAATCACTTGAAATTTCACAAAAAACTGTCTACAATGTTGTATCCCATGGAATGACTATCAGCGAATTTTTAAACGCTGGAGCATCTGAGGAAAGATGCCCTCTAAAAACCAACGAAAAGTTCAAGGCAGTGAATGAAGTAACTTTGGCTTGGTTTACTGCTATGAGGGAAAAGCACGGAGAGTTCCCATTGCTGGAGAGCATCGTATGTAAGAACACAATCCAGCTAGCACAAAGATTGCATCATAATGAATTTGAGGTTTCCTAAGGTTGGTTTCTCTCTTGGTCAGACAGATGTGGTATTCAATGTTACAAAGGAAAATACAAGTAACTCATGTGCATTGCTTTATAGGTTTGTGGGGAAAGTTTAGCGGTACCACTTGATGCCGTAGATGAATTTCGAGCGGGGTTACCGTAGTTGATACATGGATATGCTGACTGAGATAATCTCAGTGTAGTTGAAATAGGTTTGTATTACAGGTAGCTCCCAGAAAGAACATTAAGTTTAAAAGGAAAGACAGTTTTGGGGTCCAAGAAATCCAAAGAGAGGGTCACGTTAGTGCTTTGTGCAAGCATGAATGGAGAAAAGTTAACAGCGTTAATGATTGGAAAGTTTCAGAACTCTACGATGTCTCCGATGTATAGATAGAAAAAGCCTTCCATGCAGTTATAGTTCTTCAAAGTACGCATGGATGACTATAGATGTCTATCATTGGGCTCTGTCGCACTAACTTGCAACCGGTTGAACGATAATCACGACTGACTGGTAAGCGGGTGTGTCCTATGAAATTAGACAGGTCACTTGCCAAAGGTTATCGTAACCCGGGCCTAAGGCTGGTTTGTGAGATGCACTTTTAGCTTATGCATCCTTAATTTCTTGACAGATGCCGTAACTCCTGTAGGTTGGTGGCGTCTATGGCCTTCGGTTGGCTGAACAGGAGTGAATTTCTTCCAAGTAAACCCCAGTCTCAGGCCTGCCGGAAAATGTCACGAGAACCCGCTTAAAAAATATTGCGTGTATCTTAGACAAGTCAAACGTTGGCTCAGTGTCATCATTGCTTGAACGTTTTCATTCCGAATCTCCCACATGGCGCATCGTTCCGCAACTGATTCTCCTGTGGTGATTCTCTACAAACACTGAAGCAGCATCCGATTCAGAACTTATCCTCCTCCTACGCCGGCCCGAAAATCACCCGACCGATCGGGTTCACTTATAGATCGGTCGGATAGATTACCACAACAAGACCTGGCGCTTGCCTACCTAACCCAAGCGAGAAACCACAAAATGTCTACAACCGCGAGTCTTTAGCAGACCAGTGAACGTCGGCTGTACATGATAACAAGATCATCACAAAAAATGGCAATACAATGTGAAACTATGGCGTAATCGGACTATCGTACTGTCCACATAGCAAAACAACATCTTAAAGTGATATTCGGACATCCTAAATTGAAAAAAGGTATGGTTTATGAATCACGTTATGGCGTCGCGTTTTGAACTTAGTCCGACCAATAATGGTCATGATAAATGCATCAATCGGTTTGAACATACACTGTCGTTTTTTATTTTTTAAATTAACCTATTCACCCTCGGAGGCCAGTCATCTCAGCTCCACTGTATTATCGTAAAAAATCGCTGAAAATTCACCCTACGGGTGAATAAAGCTTACTATGACTTGACTTCATTTAGTGACAACAAAAGCTAACGAAAGAATAGATGTCTACAGACGCTAATGGTACACTTTTTTCACTACAAAATCATGACTAGATTGCACAGCGAATAATCAGTTTGAATATGGGAAAGAAGTCAATGTTCTGAGTATACCGCGTAACAGATATTTCACTCATTTTAGATGTTATTTCCTACTTGCTGTATTCAAACTGGTTCACCTTTGTCTTCCTTGAATGGGTTAACACTGATGTGATTATTAAGGCTGAAACCGTTGTATATTATGATGGACGTCATATAATTAAATCTGTGGTTATCCTAAGATTGCAACCGAATATATGTAATTATTATGAGCTAATTGGGTCAGAAAAAGTTCCCCTGAAAAGTAGGTAGTTTCGGGATAACTAGATACATAGAACTGAAAAAGGACTGAATACTGCACACAATGTACCGATATTAAGCTGAGGGCGTCATAAAAGATTTAAATTTCTTCGATACAAAAAGAATACGCAGGATGGTAGATCTAAATTCCGTTATAAATAAACAGTTTATAATTATAAACATTGGGAACAACTAACGGGATAAACCTACTTTTCATCGATCCGGGTTATGTTATCACAAAATTGTCAACCGTTTTTATACTACTTATTAGCATTTATTACTGTTTATACTGCTGTCGCAGTTCCTGGAATTTACCCACCTTTTCGAATTCCCGAGAGGTGCAGGATATTGACTGTATATTGATGGGAGAGAAAACTCAACATGAATATTAACCATTAGTGTTGAAATAAACTCCACTACGCAAAAGGCATTAAACATGATCTCTCATCCGTACATTTTTCAGAAACTTTTCTAATCTGATTGGTTCACCTGTTGTACTCTTCTCTTCATTCACCGTGATTCATATTTCCAAGGAAACACGGAGTCTCTTCCATTTCTAATTTCTTGAAACAAAACCTCATCTTTCTGGATCCGCTTTACTGGACCGAAGGTTCTATACGGCTTCAGAGTGCAGTGACGTATGACCGTATCGACATGGTCGGTGAAGATGAAAGAAGTGCAACCATTATTTTTTGATAGTATAATGCACCATTGATAAACCAGGCCATGTTGCAAGGTTGGGGGGGGGGAGTTAATGATCGATGCGATTCTGTCAACTAACCACTGGGAATGAATAGAGTTTTATTTGGTAAGAACGGTTTGATAGGGGACGAAACACCAGGCAAGCTTAAAGAAAGCTTTGAAGACAAAAATCAAGCAAAATTATAAGTGGTGATAATGATGATGGTCGCCAAGTCAATTGATGGTGGCGTTTGAGTTTCACACTTGGGCGTATTATTAAAAAATAGCGTAATTACAATATTGTATATAATCCTATTTGACATGGAACGAATTGGTTTCCTAAATATCTCTCACGCCGGTTCCATCAATCAAAAATCAGATAGAAAAGAACTAGATAGTAGTAACGCAATTCGATGACTCGAGTCCAGTGAGTCATTGGATCAATTACTAGATGTTCATCATACTGAACATTTCCAATAGATGCAGACCACGCGTTTGGTTAATAATCAATTATACACAAATATTTCAAGAGATGCCCTGCATCAGTAAGTACTTTTGTGCTTATTTTTGCGTAGTTGCCGAAACTACGGCTTCGAAACTTTGGGCTTGGAGCCGGGAAATGATTGCCTCTTTCATCCATGGGAATTTATCTCTCGAGTCTACACATTATCTATTAACTCCTACTTATTCTAAGTTTCACATCTTTAGTATTTTTGAATTACCTGTGGTTCAATATATTTAGATATGACCACTTACATCCTATTATAATGGGCGGCCTGAGTGGCACAGAAGATAAGTTTCCGAACTGTTATTTTCTAAGATTACACATGCTTTTCTTCAGTGCAATAAATAGTCTTTACAAATCGATCTGGTCTAACTGATGGCACTTGTAACATTCATGATCGTCTTCAAGATGAAGAAGTTGTACTGTTTGGCCAACAGGTGAGGATATCCTCCTGTGACTATTAAATGACGGTAATATTCCTAAGAATATATTTTTCGAGGAGGGAGGCTTTATCAGTTATTCGGTCGAGGAGTAATAAGAATCTCTGTTGTATGTGTGTGCACTTTACTAGGATAAAAAATGAAGCCATGAGCAGTTGTCATTTATACCATGAAATACCCCAAAATCCGCACTACATGTTCATCACAGAAAACAATGCAATTTGACTGATTCGTCAGCCATTAGATACACTCATTGAAAAGACCGGAACAGAAGCAGCCTTGACCCTTCTGTCACTTAGCTGTACGTACATCATTTATATGGATCGACTTCAGCCGGCATATGTGCGAATACTGGACTCTATTTTTTCACTGGGCACCCCACCATAGAACACGTAAGCCCCAGTATCCGGGCCCGTAAACACGCAACACATTTTGATCCATGTATCATGTACTTTATCTGGCTTCAGATAAACATATGCAACAATGTGACATGAACGAAAGGTGATCGAAAACGTTTTGCAGGCAGAACAGTGAACATCCGAAAGTTATTTAGATGATTTGTATGGGTTAAGTTTTATCATCAAAATACCAGTATATTTTTGTGCAGGTAAATTGTTATTGTTTCATTTTCCAGGTAATACATATCCGTAGTGAAAGCACATCGATCGTGTGTTCACCGATTAGTGGAGCCATGCGGAGGGATTTACAAATTCAGTGCTCTGACCAGATCTGGTCGAGGTACGGTAATCCGGTTCAATACCCTCGTGATTCTGGGTCACACACTCTATCGGTGAAATTTAAAGAAAAATGAACGATTGTAGGTACATTAGTTTCATCACGAATATGTCTATTGTTCATTTCCTGATACAACTGTCCCATTTAAGTTCAGTGCATACGGAGTGTTTTCGCCCCAAACAGAACGTTAAACTGCATGATAACTGTTGCGTTTCACACATTGTTCCGCTTATATCACTCTCTTCTTTCAGAGTTATCGTTTTTAGTGTTTGTGCAAAGAAGATATTAGCTTTATTGCAACTGGGCCACTTTGACCTTTTCTTAGTTAATCACCACAAGCTAAGAGCTATTTCACTTACACTTTCCGACAGACTCCTGATAACCTTCTTAGTTGTTAGCTAAAGCTAGCCTGATTTGCTGTCCAAGTGTTTAGGGTTTACATAATATTGATTTTGGATTTCGTTGATACTTTAACGGTTAACCCTATTTTAAATTTATTAATTACCTGATTTACGTTTTACGATCCATCAACGAGTGGAACACAACACTGCACATTCAGGAATTGCCCAACACCTGTTACGGCTATTTTGCACATCTATTTTGAGAACATCTTACCTTGAGTGATGCGCAAACCAAGAAATATTCTTGTCTCAAGCGTAATTGTTTTCCCTCATACACATGGTCGATAGGATAGAGAACTCGAGAGATATTTTCTGCGTGATTCCGGGCCAAAACTGCCTGTTGAATAAGTTAGAAGAATAGGGGGAAAACCACAGAGCAACAAAGATAAACAATAACCACAGAGGAAAATAAAAAGGATTTCTGTGTCGTCGGTGGTAGTAGTAGAATTAGCAGTTATTCGATTAATCTGATGCTCCTACTAAGAAGTTATCTGAATGGTCATCACTGGAAATTCGAAATCTAATATCTGATAACCGGGAGTATTCTTTAAGGTTCATTATTTCCACAAACCCAGTTGCATTTTTTTGCAGGTGAAGCGGCGAAATCAGTTCGTATTGGAATTGGAGACGCAATTTAGCATTTAACCATAATTCCAGAGCACTTTAATATTGAACAGCAAATGAAATACAGGTGTTATTATGTGTGTGTTACGGTAATGAGGAAAGATGGATCGAGCTGAACAAAAGATCACGTGACCCGAATTGACAAATCTGGCCTGGTACATCTCCGTAGAGTGGGGATGGTTGGTCATTGTGTAAAGGCGGTCGGTCTATCTGTCCGGTCAAATGATTGACTGGTTGACTTCTTCGCGCACAGTTTTGCGAGCTTTCCAAGTTCCCGTACAGCCAGTAGTACAAACTCCGCAGTGTATGAACTAACTGTCCGATAAATCAATTTTCATACACACATATATTCCAATATGTGCATGCACCACCTTCCATACTTGGTCCGACTATGTACGCTTCCAAATAAATCACGCATAATGAATAATTTGAACGTAATTATAAACACTTGTATGCATGTGTGTGTGCGTGTGTCTAAGAGTGACTCGATGAAGAGGATGGATACACCTAGGCATCCCGTGTGGCCTGATCAAATACCCTTCCCACGCATACAGTGACCTACATGTGGACGAGCTTAGTCATGATGTGTGTGCTCGCCGAACTGAAAACCCTCTCGCTCTTTTAATATGCCACTAGAATGAATGGATGAACTGTTTGGAATTGTGTGTAACGCACTTGCTCTGGCGTAGGTCGCTCGGATTTATTGATGACTGATCAATCACCCTTGCGCGTGCATACTCGATCACAAATAGGACCTTGATGAAGCGGACATGGAAAAGTCAAGGCCAGTTGCAGATGCATACTTTTATTAGTGTTTTTATCCGCTCAACAGTTCGGGTTGTTCAAGGAGATCCACTGAGTTACTTGATCTGGTCATGCGATCGTATCAAACAGAAAACTGGCCACATAAACGGTTCTTCTACAGTGTTAAAAATCCATTGCCACCCATAGTACAGCTCAATACTTAATAAAACAGTGTATACTTCCACGAAGCCTGTGAAGTATGCTGGGAGCAAAATCTCACAGAACGCAAATGATCAAGTGACCATTTTGTTGGCCTTCTAAATACAAACGTTTGACATGCTTTTTCTTAGGCCCTGCAGGAGCTTCATATCAATCATTCCTCATATCCTGATTATCGTTGTATTCAACTCTGTAGCACAGCGAAAAACTCGTTTTCTCTCACAGGGGATCTTGACCAAGATGTCCCAACCACTGGAAATAATATGAAAATCAGGTTTAGGCCAAATGAGTATCTGAATGCCACTGAAAAACAATTATTATGTTGTTTTGTTGGATAAGCACAATTTGTCTTTTATTGAAAAATTGTATTATCGCCAAGCCCTTCAGGGACGGTGGAAACCAGATTGGTATGAAGATTTCTAACACATAATTGCGCTTTGTGGGTGACTCCGGTGTTCGTTAATTGGAATCATCCACCTGCAAAAGTTGTACTTCATATCAAGTCTAACTCGACAACGATGCTGTTCAAGATCGTAGATTTCCTCAGAAGTTCGATCACAGAGCATGTCTCAGCATCCGGAGGATCTCTTTTCACCGCCGTTGCTGTATAGTGAATCGATACTACAAGACAAATCCACATGGCGAAATCGAACTTGATCCCCTAAACCAACTCGTAACGCATTGATTCTACAATCCACACGAGAAACACATTGAGCAAACGCTGTACAGAAGTTCGTATGCAGTACATCCGACTTTTCGACGCGCACGAATAACAAGAACATTTGGGATCACATGGCTTTTGTGTTAAGAAACATGGAAAATTTGATGGTACTATTCCTTTGGAGCATGTAAGCAAGATAAACTAAGTTTGATATGGACTTGGGATTATTTAAAATCACAGTTTGCCTAACAAGGATTTAAATCCATGGGCGACATAAACCCTGATATATGAAAGATCATTACTATACAACCAAATCCATCAATTGCCGCAGTTTCATAAAAGTGTAACAAACGTGAAGTCTCCACTTTTGAAATCACTGATTTGTTATGTCAGCATTTATCGATTAGAAACTCTCTCGATCATCGAAATTGACAGTCGGCTTTGCGTTGATAAAAGCGGTAATGCAGTAGGTAAAGATGAATAATCCTCCTAGTGTCGAAATCCCATCTTGAATAGTGAGGATGAACTCAAACAGTCAAGTGTATTCACGGCATTTATCCATTGCCGTGATACTACACCATGTATACTCACACGCCGCTGTCTAATTAGTGAAAAGTATTGCTGATTTCTGTGATGTAGGCAAAATCTTTTCTCGTGGCCTGCAAACGAATTGTCTTTATCTTTTTCTTACTCCTGTGCAATGAAGCGCAGTTGCCCTCTTCCTTATCATATCTCCTTATTACAAAGAAAACTGGCTTGCTGATTTGCGTTATTTATGACTTTTCTCTCTTATGGTATATGAATACAGAGCTCACTATTGCGCTGAAGATAGTTACTACGCTGGTTCAGACCGATCACTATTTATACATCATCCTTGTGCACAATCTTTAGTTCATTCATTCAACCAGTACAGAAACAGTAGACTAGAGCTTCTCTCTCCTTAGCGTTCATCAGTATTGCATATGCTTCTTCCCTTCCGAGCTCTGAACCCTATGCCTATAGCATGGAAGGCATCATCACTGCACCAATCAGCTCAGTCTGGGGCCGACCAGAATCACCAACTCATGTTTGTTCAGATAGCGTCTACAATGATAGTCAACTACTTGGGCCCCACGGCAGCGAAAGGAGACACAGTTGACCATCTAATAACTCCGTGCAGAGTTGTACCAACTTGCCACAAACCTATTGGTCTCGGGAAGGGTGTTCCCCTAAGCGATAGTGGTCGAGAGGTAAGGTCACCAGATTATTGTCTCGGAGAATCACCGCCCCCTCCGAAATAAGAGAGAATAAAGCAGCTTAACAAGATAAAACTGATTTCACAGCTTTTAACGAACGGTTGCAGTGTTTCAAAGAACCTCACCAAACTTGTGGCTTGTCAGCTGCAACTGTGGGCATCAAGTTTGCACAAAACGCCATAAGTCAGCTGTGTATATTACAGAAGCTGAAAGAGTATAAGAGAGAGCCCAGACACCGGTCATTGGAAAGAGGCATTCACCCCGTTATTTCTAGGGTAATGTGAATCCATCTGTTACCTAGCGATGAAAAAAAACTTGTATGAAAACTTTATTGATCTCTTTTGATCTGCATGTAGTTATCATCCGTCCACACAACAAAGGTTGTTGTGGTCTTTTAATCCTCCGCAACACGCCTCGTTCTTCACAGAACAGCAACAGCGAGCCTCTTCACCAGAACAGAGCATAGGGTTCAAAAAAGTATTCATTTCATAAGAGAAAGTTGTGTAATTGACTTTTCTAAGCAGATGATGGTGATTACTGTGTATTATCGAACGTAAGCAAAACACGTCAATAATAAAAAAAAAGCAAGAAATTTCTCGACTTAGTGGTGAATCTCTTGTAAATCGCCATCTCACTCGGTTTCACTATAGTAGACGGAGTTGTGGAAGCAATAAAAACGGTTGACTGAGAATACGAGCCATACTCTCATTTAATGTAAACCATAAATAAGTGAGTAAAGTTTATGACTTGCTCCTACATTCCCTGTGGAAGTGCGAAAATTGCGCACTAGTGACCAGCGTGAAAAGCTCAAAACGGCATTCGTATTGTGTTCCAAATACCAAACAGGTTGATAGAAACATGTATCATTGGGAGTACATCACGGTAACTTTTTAGAAGAAATTGAAATTTGAATACCACGTTCTTCTTCATATTTCAGTAAGTCTGATTTTTGGAATGATGATTTTTCCAGGGACTCACGTTTATATAATCACCTGAGAAAAACGTGTTCAAATCAAATGTCTTCGCCGCCTTCGCAGCCCACAAACGTAACGTGTTGCACGCGTTGTTTCTATATCCCGGAATCGGTGTGTCATACGGCGTAGCTGTGACCACTTCCGTGTCTTTCCATTCGGCTTGTCCATTCTCATCTCGGACCACACGACCACCAAAATGTACAAGTTGGGAGTACTCAGGACGTTCAATTTCCCACGGATTACCAAAGCGGAGCCATTCATCTAATTCCTCCGTCTAAAACTCAACAACATTGGACAAATTGACGGCATAATGATGAGGTCACATGGTGAGTTAAAGAACTCAATAGTGTGGGAGCATAGATTGCTTCACTTTTGTGTCATCTGATCAATAGCGAACAAAATTAGATGGTGAAAATTGCTCATTAGAATACACGAACTTGGGCTAAATTGCGGAATCACATGTATGTGTTTGATAAATGATTTCTATTTGTTGTGATACTGGCATCAATGATCTACTTCACCATTTTTCAAATTCCTCCCGATCAGAATCAGTTCTGTTCTCATTTCGCTTATATCATCCACAACAGGTTGCCTCCATGATATTGTATCGGTAACTTTGTGCACTGCTCAGTTACGCTTAATTTGAATACAGCCTTATGACAACCCCTCTTTCTTTCAAGCTATAAGAAATCCATCACTCAGAACTGTGCGCTCATTTTACCAGGGTCTTGCTGCAGTTTCTGCGTATATGTTTGCTATCTTTACGTTTTGTCGAAATGTTGCATGTTTACCGATTAAAATGGTGTATGATTCAGGTCTTCCTGAGCAAAACTTTTCAAGAATGTATTTCTGTCAATGGATACACCCCAAAATTATCGTTTCATTCAAACCAACCAACTGGTAGGTTTATGTTTTCACTGCATGCGTATCAAAGAGACCATGTATGGCCTTTTTCTTTTCTTTTTGAAATTTCTCAATTAGTATCGTAAATTGCGTTCTTTTATATCACAACCTATCAACAAGTTTGGTCCTTAGTGGTTATATTGCTTCATTCACGGCCATTCAGAGCTATACCGTTAATGACGAGAGTTTGTTTAGTTACACTCGGGTAATTTATGTGTATCAACTCGAACACATTCCTGGCGACCGCAGTCCACCACTGCACAAGGCCTCTAGTCCTGTTGTGTTCCATTTACCCGGAATGCCATTCCAGAGGAGGCAGATGAACCGTACAACAAGCTATCGGCTGGTCTCTGGTGAAACTGTTTGCTCGGAGTTAGTTATCCAAAGACCACAAGTACTACATCGAAATTACCCGAATGAGACAAGTAATTAACCTCTAAATGGGGCGACCGGCCATTAAATCAGTAACAAACGGTACATTCCAAAGATTACAACTGAAAATCCTGGGGGCATTGCTTCGTAGTATTATTTGATAGTAAGTTAAACTGGATTCTGATGCATAAAATTCTTATCAACGTGTTCCTAGATCACTCGAATCTTAGGCATTTTTGAGGCAAATGAACGGTCTTGAAAAACTGATGTAATTCTTTCAGTGACAAAGATATTGAGAGAAAGCAGATTTGTATTCGTCAATGATTTGTCATTTGGAAAATCTTCATGTAAGATTTACCGGATTTTATTAATAATTAAACACACAGTGACTACTTACGAACCTGTTTACCTGTATCCAGTTAGGACCACTGATACACTGTAATTGGCAAACTTAATAACAACCCAATGGAAATGACATATAAGATTTTACATGAGCTTAGTTTACCACATTGCTTGATACAAGGCTAAATGTCAATTAAACATCTTAACTAGCCTGACAAACTTACTTGAACTTCAGTCATAATATGGGACGCGTGTAGTGGTTCTGATGGATGAATGTAAGAGGAATGAATTCAGTTTCATATTCCATTTATTGCTGTCTATCGGTACCCAACCGGTATGTTTCGCGCCGTTTCTTCCCACTTACAGGAACCCTAAAGCCTGAAAGCACCGAAACTTCTTCCCATATCTGATTAAGCCGGTTTAGATTTATATCAATTGTTCCGGTTATTCATTTGTATTGAAACCAGCAAATGCTTTCTATAATTTTCAAGTGGAAGGTTTACTTTGCAATAAGAAAACACGAAATTTCAAAGATTCAAAGAGTTATTATGGGATTAACTTACAAGCTCATGCTTTTCTGGCCCCATAGGTTCGTGCGGTGGAGTAAGAAACAGTGATACATACAATTCTTTGTGTAAAATGTCACGTGATACGTGCTTTTTCCACTGCTGCACGCACCTTCACTTATGTTGGAATGTAAGGTGTGCTAATGTTTCATCGAGCCTTAGTCGGAAAGACTCAATGCTTGGAGCACAGATGACGTAGGATGGTAGAGAGTTCCAGATCGAACACATTCTGACTGCGAATGACTGACGCCGGCATTCCAAGCGGCATTTTGAGACCGCTAGTT